GCACAAATATACACAAGAGGTTTCTATAATACTATAGATATTTAGAGTGCTAATACCTTCCCTTTGTATAACCAATCTCGATTCTCAAATCTCTTAGTACATTGCATTGCATGCACTCACGGGTTTATTTAGATTTTTTTCCGTTCCCTCTCTTGGGATAAATTAAAAGTTCACATGTAGAGAACGGGCGACCTCACTTCAAAAGAAGGGACCAAATCCCGCATCCACAACATGATCTCTATTTATATAAGTTTGGGTTCGTTCTGAACCACACAAAGCACTTGGTGCAATTACAGTCGTACAAAATTGTCTACAAAATCTCAACACTTGCATTGACATTATCAGATGTTTTACAACTCCTCAAAAAATTTGTTATGTTCATAAGAATTTTAAAAAAAAAGGTACTTGTATTTTTCAAAGTTTTGCGAAAATTCCGATAACAAAAGATACTTTTTAAAAAAATCGGTAGGCTTAAATACACATTGGTTTAAAAAAATGGCATACCAAATTTTTTAAATACACTATCAATTATTTTTGTTTTGTTCCTGACATTTCACTTATTTTACCGGATTATTTGTCTAGATTTTTTTAAAATTATTTAACTAAAATAATATGAAAATTATGAAAAATTAGAAAAATGTCAGGTCAGGTTTTGTGAATGACAGAATAATATGTTCGAAAACGAGCGGCATACACAATAGCTACCATGCCAATCTCACAAAAATGCAACATACAACAGAACAAGAAAAAGTAAAAAAAAAAAAGAAAAAAAAAACACACACACACAAAACCACACCAAAGAAAAAAAAAAAACAACCAAAACATTCAACAATCAAATAGGAACCCATATTTAATAGAGTAGATTTGAGTTGGTCTCTCCTCTTAAACGTAAGTCCATATAATTGATATTATGATTAAATAAATAAATAGAAGTGTTGAAGATACTATTTAAGTTATGAAATGAACTTTGTGATTTGGAACAGACTCTCCAAGTCCTACACTCTACCCAAACACTAGAGGTAATGCCTCCATGCCCTAGTAAAGAAACATTTCCAAAATAGCACTTTGATATATTCTACTCGTGGCAGTTCATTCATTCAACAAAATACAAACAAACAAGACTTTCAATTCAATTTATTCACTTTGTGTCATATACCTTTTTTGCTTTGAATTTTATTTATGGGTTTAGCTATTCCTTGTAAGCATTCCTCGTATCTATATATATTTGATACAAGTAATTTTCCGAATATCCCATTAAAAAACAGTAGATATTTTTTATTTATTTAAAAACAAGTGATTTTATTTAGCATAATGATTCATCAGTTTCGAGATGAGCTGTTGGATATTGACACTTAAAATGGATCTGAGATATTTCAACAGAAAAGTAAGAAGTACATGTATGTATTCAAGTGTGTGTATAGCAAAAAAAAAGTCATACTATAGCCCCTCCTCCTATATGTTTGTCTTGTCTTGCTTGCTATACTGTAGATCTTACAGTCTTGTATATATTACTATATTGCTTTTTTTTGCTTTTAATTATCGCTGTTTCATTACTTAACATTCCGTTTAATCTCTCCTTTTTATGCTATTCATGAACAGTCTATTTCTAATAAATGTCTGTTTATTGATAGGAGTTTTTCTATACTCTTTCATTGGTGATCATATTCTATCAACAGATTTCATTTTAATTTTAAATTAATTACTATAAAAATATAAAACTAGTATTAATATAATTGATGATAACTATTTATTAATATAATTGTAATGACATTTATTTTCATTACAATTTTTGTAAAATAATATATATTATGGATAAATTTAATGTAGAACTTTTTTTAATTCATTATTACATATAAATTAAATGGATGTTATATATAGAGATAAAATGGTATATTTATTTTAAACAAATCCATATATCTATTAAAAGTTCTTTTAATGACAAAAACCATTAAAATTACTCTACAACAAGGAATTATACTCAAGTCACGAGATTAAAATAAAACTTTAAATGTAATAGAGAAGACTATACCATTTCAGACCTTTTAGACCATGAAATGAAGAAATTTCTAAGAGGAAACAATAAGTTTAGAATGAGCCCAACTCCTCTAACCACTATCCATCACCTCCACCCAACTAGGTATAAAAGGCAAAGCAAGAGCAAGCCCTACCATGACAGAGTACACACCTTTAGGATCATGTTTCCAGACCCAAGAGCCATCGTCGAGATGCCTAACTTTTCTAATATGGCTACATTTTGTAAACTAGTCTGATTTGAATTAACATTAGTCTTGCAAAGAGTTATCATTTCCCCAATAGGAAATCCATCTAAATTTATTCAGACGGCCACCCCTTTGAGAACCCCCTTGAAGCCACCTTAAAGAACTGTCTTTGCAACCTGTAGTTAACAACTTCATGAAAATTAAAATATAAGGATAACACTCAGCATATAGTTAACATGGCTACAAGCCCACACAGACTAACAAACTTATTCCTTCCTTCAAGATATTGCTCTTTAGGGTTAGCTCTCACATTCAGACAGCAGCGGATCCAGATGATATGGCTAAACATTAAAAAAAAAAACTATGAACTAAATTATATTGAAAATAATAAATAATATTATTTAATGCAATACATTTACAATGAAAATTGTCTAGCATCTATTTTTTGAAAATATACTAAAATAATATTATTGTTAATTGTTCTAAAAACATCTCTTTCTATAAAATTACAAGACGGTCATTTATCCGGTGATCACTAATTTTCTTATAGAATTAATTCGTCACAAATTTCATAACTGAAAAAACAGATTCTACACTTACATTTGTCATTGAAAAAATTAAAGTCAAGTTTAAAAACTTATAAATCATATCAAATATATTGCACTTATTTGTTTCTAACAAATTTTTTCACAAATCACGCAATTAAATGAATTAAATGAAGGGGCATCAACTTTGTAGTAAGGGACTATTCATTTATTTTTAAAAAGGACCCAACCACATTTATAGTAAAGAGGCAACTTTAGCACATCTTCACAATTTGAAAGATTAATAATGTCTTTCTTAGAAATACAATAATATTAAATCTTTTGAGGATGAGTTTTGTTCAATTTTGTTAGATTTTGTTCCTAAAATAAAATTTAATAATACTCGATTTTGTATTTTTCTTTAGTATATTAGTTAATATAAATTGTCTGTCCAAAAATAAATGTTATAGCTTATTTTCGTTATTATAAATACAAAATAGTAATAATAATTTGATACTGATCATACCTATCATATTAATTAGATGATATAATTGAAGGAAAAATAATTAAAATTATATTAAAAATTGAATAAATAACAATTTTTTTGAGACAGTTTTTATTTTAAAAGGTGATAATTATTATGATAGTTTATTTCCAAGTTTTTGACATAATAAAGTGTGTCTTTTGAAATTTGTACCAGTGTAGCACTCCAAGTATTCGTCTCCAAAATTGAAAGTTGTTTAATGGTCCTTCACAATTGTTTCCACGTCCTTCATGGTCCTTCACTATTTTTTCCTTGTTTAAATTAGTAAATAAAATAAAATACTTATATATGAAATAAATTATATAACTATCATAAACTCTTCAAAGTTGCAATATAGGAGAACAAATAAAAAGGAATTGCTTTTCAAAGTGATGTTGTATAGTGAAACCCATTAAAGTTCCTTATAATAAATTCCACCATTAGAGGAGAGATGCTTAATTGATATTCATTCAAAGTAGAAGAAAAAGCTTACAGCTTACAATTAAAAAATTGATATACACACTAAATTAGTTGATACTAATCATAGAAGCAGATCCATATCTCAAAAAATGAAACTCTTTAATTATATATGCATGTTCAAAAGTGTTAGCTAGCTACTAGTATTAGAATGATCACATTAAGTCTATAATATGAGTTGTCAATTACTAACATGCAGAAGGTCAGTTTATATTTATATTGTAAGCTTCAAATTAAGAAGAATCTAGATGAAGGGAATAATATAGGTACTCAAATCTCCATATATGGCTAGGACAAGTAAATTGTATGTTTAGAATTAGCATCAGATATATGAGAAAGAAAGAGTGCATTGAAATGGCTGCAACTAGAATTAAGATACTTACTGGTCTTGTGAGAAAAACTAGATGCACCTACACATTGTGAGCAGTGGCAATCCAGACAAGAAGGTGACTGCTGAAAGGAGAGAAGACAAAAAGTTTTAAAGAGAGAAAAAGGAGTCATTAACAATAAATGATACTAGATATACAGTACTGTATATATGTATATTAAATATAAATGGAAGAAGGTTGAAATTGAATTAAGAACAAGAAAGAAAGAAAAAAGAGCATAGTAGCTAGTACTAATTTAGTTGACAGGTGGAAAATCTGCAAAGCGAAAAAGAGGCGCAGCAGAAACAGCAGTAGTGTTGTGGTGAACGACATCAACCCAACAATGCTAACTGAAACATTACATGGATCGATCGAGGAAATAATAGAAACCAACAATCGTTTCTGTGTATCATTTAATGCAGTTAACGGATCACAGAGAAATAGAGAAAGAGAGAGAGAAAGAGTATTTTTTTGTATTCTACTTGTATATTTATGCAATACAAAAAATGCATAATAATGGAACCATAAAATAATATATAATAATATATTTGGCATCAAACTAACTGTTTTTTTATTTCTTCAACATTCTCACTTTGATTTCTCCTTGCTTATTAACACTTTGACCAAGCAGTCTATGATATGAACAAGTTCAAACACTAAATAACTACTTATCCAAAGATGATTACTTATAACATTTAATTAAGAGAAGGTTTTGGGGCTTTGCCATGATTTGTACTGGAAAGAGAGAAAAAAGAGTAAATAAATAAAATAAAATTGCTGAACGGAGATTGTAGCAAGTTAGCTAGTCTGCCCAAGAGAAACTAACTCTAACTGACTGACTTCAAAACAAAGTGATATGATATGATATGATATTATCTTCCTGGATGGA